GTTTCAGCTGATGCTTAATTTAAATTCTCTAAGCCTCCAGGGTTTCAGGTTTCCATGTGACAAAACTTAAGATGCTCAGAGAGGGTTTACTAATTCAGGCCCTAGCAAGACCCAGTCAGAGCCAAGACCCAGGAGAAAGCCTTTCCTCTCTTGATCTTGTTTGGTGGACTTGACACAGTTGGTTGTCTCAGAACATATTTACAGAATCAGTCTCTGCACAAAATTGGATTGCAGACACTCCTTTTGAAACATGACTGGAAGGATGATGTCTCTCTCTGCCTATTAGACTTGGACAATTTTTACAGCTGCTTAGTGGTTAGAGCCCTCATTCAGAGGTGGAGAAGGTACAGTAAAATTCCCAGTCCTGCCTATGAGATGTCTGTATGCTTTCGTCTCTCATGTTATGGAATAGCACTATAGACAGCTATTCCCTGGTAGATGGAAATTCTCAACCACTCCTGACCCTGTGAAGTAGAAAGAGGGAATACTGCTTTAGCTGTATGATGAGCAGTCTCACAGAAGAGGTCATTCTTGGTCTTCTTTTCTCAGCCCCAACCCTCCGCCAATGCATTTGTCATAATAATATTTAATGCAAAACTCTTAATACGGTCCTGGGAGCAGCAATATGAATCCAGAGCTCCCATGTCCCAAAAGAAGTGCTAGAAAATGGAGGTCATTCTGCTCCTTCTTCCTTCTCTGACCCAGAGACTTTGTAATTCTTCTGTGCGAAGTGGAACTGGTTCAGAAGTGATTCTGCCTTACTCCAGGACTGCCTTTAGCCTGGTACATGGAGTAATCCTGCAGTGTGAAAAAGTAGGTCAGAATCTTCTCATGAGGACCATGAGCCTGGGCAAGCCTCCTGTGTCCTGAGGGAGTGGCCCAGCTCCTAAAGAAGAGAAAGGGGATTTGCTTGCACTCTTCTGATAGAGTGATGCATCCTTCTTCTTAAAAGAAGGTGATGAAGGTGCCTATTAGCAGAAAAAGCTTCTAGACTGTGAATCCTGAGGGAAAGCAGGTACCTATTAGCACAGAATAACAAAGCCACATCCTTGAGAGTGGTCAGATTGAAGACATATTTGTGCTGGCTTCTCCCATAGACTCATGTAGGTGGCTCCCTCCTCAGTGTGCTGGTTGTCAAAATTTCCATTCTGAAGCATTGCATTCTTCCCAAGAACTGTGCAAACGCTATGTTTAGCATCTCTTATTTTCTCGATGTGGGCATGCAAAGCCTTCATTATAATAGCAGTCTTGCTGTAGCCAGGGTATTCTAAGTGAAGCAAGATTTGTAGAGAGACTATATTTGCTGTTGGAGCAACTCATATAACAGGAAAAAGCAAGCAGGCTGTCAGGCCTTTTTCAGGCCTTTTTAAGCTCTTGCTGGTTTTGCCATCAATATTTGGATCTAGTAACAGATATTTCTCTGTCTACAAAACCTGCCTTATCAATTTATGGCAAAGAATGTATTACCATTTTTCGTAGATATAAAAATTTGTCCTGTACAACCCACTTGGGGAATACTCCATACCAGGGTTGTTTAATTTTTTTGGAGTGAGTTGTGACTGAAGCAGTATAAGCATGACTGTTTGGTTTCTCAATCTTGTTGTGCTTTGTACCCTCAGGCCACTTAGTGGAGGGTTTGGCCTTAGTGATACCCAGAGACCCTAGAGAGACTGTGGTGAAACAATTTCATAATTGTACCTCCAGAGTCTCAAGATACCTCCTAACAATACCGTGGTTACTTCCCTGTTGTTTACTGTCACACACTTTTTTCTGGAGCTCATCCTGCTTTCTAATCAGTCAAGCATCACTTCTGCATCAACATTTAATATTCTGGGGCTAATGACCAATGTCTTGGCATGCCTTATGCCTTTAACAGAAAACTGAGATCACACACAGGGCTGAGGGGGTTCTCTCACAGTAAACTGGGTTGTTCTCTTTGCCACAGGTGCTATCATCCTGGATGTGGGCAGCTCACAGTTTCTCACCTGCCCCTCTGGTGGCCACTTCAGCCTTAGGCAATGGATCCCATGGTTCCTCTGGAAGCTTTCTGGGGTTCCCAAGGAAAGCAGCACTTACTCACTCGCAGGCCACACCATCTCCTAGGGCACTAAGATGCCTTCCTTCAGGATATCCTTCACCTCCCTCCCAGTAAAACCCAGTACCAGTTTTCTGGGAAAACCTCTCCACAGCCTCACATGATTCAGCATACCAGATTTGCTTGCCTTTGACCGTTTTATCCAATGCTCTTCCCACTCTGGCAAGCTTCTGCAAAACGTCTGCCTACCATAAGTAAAATCTACTTATAACACGAAGCTGGTGAGTGGTACCTGTGTGTACAATAATCAAGATTTCAGCCATCTGCCCTTTGGCCCTCTGTCAGCCTGGGGCATCTGCCGAGCACGGGGGATGCAGTCTGAGCTGCTCACAGCATTCACAACCGTGCTATGGGTGGCCCTGCATATGTCCACATACGCTTCAGTTCATCTCTTGCACATCATCTTGTCATAAGTGTCCTGCAGTATCACAGGCAGCTCCAGATTGGCAAATCTTTTTAAATTGCACCCCTGCTGCACAGTTGTGAATTTGACAGAGGCTCTGTGCAGTCCACAGCATCATGTCCTTACTGCTACATATCTCCAGGGGAAACCTCTGCAGAGCTAGAATCTAGGCTGCAAGGACAGATCTTTCCAGATACCTGTCAGCTTTTAGGGTTGTGCTGTATTAGAAATACACACAAGGTTTTGTGTGACCTATTTCAAAAAAGAATGTGTTGCCTCTCTCTGTGCTGAGAGATCAATTTCAATCCTTACTTTGTATCTTCATATTGTGTCTTCAATTTCAAGGTTTTTCTTTCAGCAACAGACAAAAAAGTGGCTGAACAGTTGATAAATTCACTCTTAAGTCCAGGTTTTCAAGTTCAGTCTGTCTTTTTGAATAATTGCTTACCTTTTCTTCATGATCTACCATCAAGTTGTGGGGTTTTTTTTCCCCTAACACTCCTAGAGTGTTCACATGAACCTCTTCTTTAAAACTTTCTTATCTGCTGCCAAGTCCTAATTCTATTCTACAAAATCCCTGCCTCTCTGTCATCTTCTTATATAATTTTTATGTGTTTCAATTAAAGCCTGATCTAGTTTCTCTTTCCTTGCCTACACACTGTCTCTGTCTTACTCCAAACTTTCAGATTCTCTTCTGATTTAGCCACAGTGGTTTCCTATTTCAGGTGCCTCTGAACAAGTTTTTAAGAGAGAATCACAGGCAATACATTGCAAACTGAGCTATCAGCATCAAATATCTATTATTATCAATAACAATATAGGCAAAGCTAACCTATAAATGCATAACAAAACTTTACCCATGACCAAGGAACCAAATCTTCCCACATCAAAAGTTATTCAGGCAAAGTTCACTATCTCCTCATCCAACTGCAACCAGCCTGCTGGCTGGTGATTTGACTCAGATGAAAACTGAACTCAGTAAATTTGTATGACATTCACTATAAATGGTGAGACTCTGTAGGCAGAAAGACAAAGAATATTTAGCATTTCCAATTTGATTACTTTCAGTACAATATTCATGTCTCATCCATCATTACTTTTGGTGACATCTTAGAGTGGGACAAAGATACTCCCTCATCTCTGAAAATCCTATGCACCTCTCCTGTTTTTCTTGTTAACTACAAGACTAAGTTGCAAGCAAGTTAAAAAAACTGAAGCCTGTAAAACTTCCTAGGTTTTAGATTTTTACTGAACTTACTTGGAAAACTCTTAAATTCGGTCCCAGTAGTTTTTGATCAATCTAGTTGAATAAATTATCCTTTTGGTTGCTTTCATGGGAAACTTGAGTTAAAAGTAAATTATAGTTCTCTGATTGCTACAGACTGGAGAAAAAACTTCCCCTTTTTCACTCATAGCAGCCTACTTCCTATTTTTAATTAGAGCTGTTGAGTAGTTTGTCCTGGGCAAAGACAGACATGTATAGAAACTGATTTGGAATTAATTTCTAATAATGTTTAATAGGCAATAGATACAGGATGGATTTTTTTCTCCCCAGACACCCCCTTTTTGAATGCCATGTACAAACTGATTCAGGCAAAAAAGACTGAAGTGTGAATAATGTTTGATCTACATCTGGCAAGCAAAACTGCAGTCATTAGCTGGGCTCTTATGAGGCTCACTGCATGCTCATAAGCTGACTTAAAACAAATCTTAACAGATGATAAAGTTGCAAGTTTTACTAAGCTGGCAGAATCAAAATGAGGTTACAGGAGAAATCAAATTCCATGTAAAGAAATTGGCAGTACAGGAAAATGAAGTTATTAATTTATCAACTAATTATACATACAAACAGTCAAAAACATAAATACAACTTCTTTATTCAGTCATGTATTAAAATCAGTTAGAACATAGCAAGCATGGTAGCTGTGGTACAGGTATGGCCTTAAATTTCTCTAATTTCCCATAAATGTTATGGAATCAGTCCGGATACCACCCTTCTTATATAACAGTCCATTCAACTGTATTTTTACTGTGTCATCAGATCTTAAATTAACTTGGTGACTTTCAGCAGCAGAGTATTGGAGGACAGACAGTTTCGTCTAATCTCATTGGAGAAACTTTAGTTCTTGCCAACAAATCTATTATTTCCCGTTCTATTAATGTAAGACCTATTTAAGCAAACAAAAGGGAACGGAATTTGCCAGCCATGAAAACTAAGCCTGTTTAAAAAGGGTGATTTCCTTCAGGCAAAATCCAAGCAAAGATTTTCTCGAAGACCAGGGCTACACATCAGCTCAGGGACACTGTGAGTAACACTGACACTTGTGAGAGAATTAAATGTACTTTGAAAGAAGGGGAATTTCAACTTAAAAAGAGGAAGCTTCTTTTGGACAGAGGGTGCTTGCTGTAAGAAGCACATATGTATTTGTGATAGGAAAGGGTTGATTTTCTGTTGATCTAGGCTTTCTGCACATGGTGGAGGACAGGCACTGAGGACAGAGGAAAAAATGAATGTTTCTGTTGTCAAGATCCATACTGGAGTATTTCGCTGCACCTGAGACAGGACGCCTGGAGAAAGAAAGAAGGTACTCCCTAGTATTATAATGCTTTCAATTGAGTGGGTTTGCTTTTTTATTTACCTGATAATGATTTGAGCAGCTACTGAGGCAAGCCTTTATAATGCTCCTGTAAAGAAGTAGGAGCATACATTTGTAAAAATGTAATTGCTATTAGTAAAGTGACTCCACAGCTGCTAATTGTAGCAGCTTCATACACATCCCTTATTCCCTGGAGCAAGCTGACCCATCTATATAGCAGAATGAGCCAGAGCCCATCCTCTAGTGTCATCAGCACAATTATTTCCTGAATTCCTGGAACAGCAAGTTCATAATCAGAAACTGGGCAAAAGGACCAAAGTAGATCGGCGGGGCATTTTCTGATTATTCATGTTATAAGGATGGCAGACTTAATTTCCACCAGAATATAGGAGAATCAGGTCCTTTCTTCCCAGCTACTGTAATTCTGGTGGTTGAAGGGAGGGGCTCAAAACCAAAAGGCATAAACCTCTTCCTTTAGCTTTGTAAATCAGTTAATGTGTCATCAGAAGCACTGTGAAAAAATCAGTATGTGTTCCCAGTGTGATTTCTGCACTAGAACTGGGAGCAGGAAGGCTTGGCTTATTTAACTGCACTTCTGAACATCACATCTTCATTTAATAATTGCAATTAATTTATTGCAAGAAAAAGTAGCTTCTGATCAGTGATCATCATTTGTGTCATATGCCTGCCTGGTTTTGAAAGACACTTATTGAAATAAAGAATGTAATACCTGAGGACTAAACATGTAATATATTGTATGGCTGCTAAGCCTTGTTAGGTGTGTTTGGGTATAGGTTAGGAATCAACTACAGAGTCATCCTTTTGTGGACAGTACATATCTTGCTATCAGAGGTGCTCTGCAAACTGCGATTTGAGGTTATGCCTGTACAGCATTGTGTAGCCATGCTGCCATTTCCAGGCAACGTGTTCTTTCCAGAGGTAGGAGGTTCAGAAGAGGGACAACTTGCGAGTGGGCATTTGAATTCCCTTTCCTGTACAATGACTCTTGAGGAGATTTCAGCAATCGACTGGTCTGTTAATCAGCTGACATCACTAAATTGTCACCTGTGTGGGAACAGGAGTGCACTCCTCTGTTTCATTGCAATGTCAAACAGCTTAGTGTGATCTGGCGAGAAGCGAATCCAGCAATTGCTACTTCCCAGCTGACAAGTTTTCTTGACTGACCTTGTGGCAAGTGCAAGGGCTGGGAAAGGAGGACAGACACCACCTGATGTGGTACCTGTGATTCAGAAGTGGTTCGACCACCTTGCCAATTCTGTGGCCAGGCGTAGTTGAGTGTGGAAAAATATGTTAACCTGACCTGTCCTCTAAGTGGAACTCAGAAGAAACACCACAGCTAATCCCAATAAATGTGTCATTCTGGTTGATGACGTTCTTCCCCTCCAAATTTCCCCCACAGTTTCACTTGCGTGGAATACATGTTCGCGTCCTGTGATTTGTGCCATAGGACTGTGTCATTAGGCAGCTGCTGTGCTGTCTTTCAGAGATACCTGCCCTTTGGTTGTGGATGAAGAATTCTGCTTGCAGAGGCAGTGGAATGCTCTATGATCTTTGGACCAAAGGTATTATTGAAATAATTGGTGGTGTTTAACCGTTATTAAAAGAGCAGCTTCTGGATGTTAGATCAAAGTGATCCGAGACTCACAGAGAAAGTTATATTTCTCCTGAAGATTTTAGATATAAGTATGTTACTGAAAGAGAGGGTAGTGGGAAGGGATATAAAATGTATCCAGAAAACAAAAATTAGGGACACAGAGGGTTTTTTTTAATGTAATAACAACATAATTAAACAACAAGCCCAGATTTTTGAAATGTAACTTGGAGTAAAAGATTGTTCTAAAAGAATGAGCAATATAAAAAGTTTAGCAATTGGTTAAGAGTACCACTTCCTAACTGGAGAAGCACATAGGAAACACAAGTTGCCTGCATAATGGTATGTTCTTAAAATGTGTCCCTTGTTGGATATTTATGTGGTTGTAGGCTTAGTATTTGGGTGGAGGGCATCCTAGAATTCTCTGATCTAGCCACGTTAAGGGAATTTTCTTAAGTTATGACTTCCTTTGATAAAACTTGCTCAAATCAACCTGTGTTTACAACATGAGAGAAGGCTGGTAAATGCATTTTTAGCAGAATTTCATTTAGAAGTCTCTAGAATAGCTTTCAGGTCAGCTTTGGAAAGTCTTAGTCACAGATGTCCTGTCTCCAGGATGTTCACAGCACTGCTCATGGAGCTACTCAGTGTTACACAGGGTGGAAATTTTAGAAAAATTCCCTACACTAGAAAAGTCAAAAGAGTCTGTTACTAGTTCAGTGGCCAGTTTTGTTTTGAGTTCATTGTGAAACATGGGGAGGGAGCATCTTCCCATAGAAGTTACGTACCTGATGTAAGAAAATAATTACATGTAAGAGCACGTAAGAAAGGAACATTTTGAAAGGAACTGAAGGGCAGTGAAGGAACTTAAGAGTCAGAGAGCACACATGTGACAGTGTCTTTCAAAAGATAATGACTACATCCAAAAATAAAAACAGGAAAAAAGAGAGCAAATGAAAACCCAGACAAGCATACCAGATATAAAGCTCTTGATTACTCCAAGACCTTCATGCTTCACTGTGCATATTGGGTTTTCACATGCTGGATTCACATGCTGGACTGTGAGGATCAAGAGAGAGAAAGCACAACCAAATCTCAAAGTAAGTTGCACAGGGCTTTCTGGCAATTGCCCTCCAAAGTAAGGGGAGTGAAGGTGCCTCTTTTTCCCGAACATCAATTTTAGAGTTCTTCAGGGAAGATATACCCCTGTACTCAGCCAAGTGGGAACTGCCTCATGACCTTTCTCAGACTGGTTTGGGCCAAACCAAAGCAGTTGTGAATAGGGCCAGTAAAGTGCATGTAGTCATATGGTTTCTCCTCCTTTCAGTGACTGGACTGCAGAGATAGTAAATAAAGGGTTGAATGTGACTACTGACTGCATGCTGACATCATTTCAATTAATATACTTCTCCATTTTTCATCTCTGACACCCACACATGATTTGTGTCTGTGAGGCATGGGGACATCTCCAGGAATGGCTGACAAAGCCTCAAAAGGCAAGAAAGACACACCACGCAGTACTAGCCTTATTTAGCAAGGAAAAACAGTGACCTCCTCATGGACTGACCTCACATAATTCTGGATGTCAGAGATAATGTTTAAGTCCTGGGTTATCCATTCCCACCCCATCAGTTATCACTGGCATCATGAAAAAGTGCCTGGATGCAGCCAGCATGTGAACAGAAAAACTGCACATCCCTACACAGACCCACGGTGCTCTGAAGCAGAGCAGTGCTCATGCACTGGGCCATGGCCATGAAGAGGGCATTTGGTCTGTACCAGTTGCCAGCAGTAGGCCATGCCCTGTAGCAAAGTCTGTCTTTTCCTTCTTACCTAGTCCCCTTTGACTGCTAAACAATTCTGGGACATAACCAGATCTTCAGTAGCCTGCAGATATAAAAGAGAATTGAGCACTAAATTTGTATTTAATATGTCAAAGAAATGGTGTAAGTAGCCAGCACAGAGAGTGTGTAATTCTCCTTCCTCCCCTTGGTCTTCTGGACTCTGGCTCCAAGGATTTGCACTTGCTGGCTAAAGGCATCTTGTAAAAAAAGGGGAAGAGAAGCCACTCACAGCACTGAAGTTTTAGTGGCCCAATTCATGATTCAGCAGCTCTCTATAAGGCAGCTTGCATGAGAGAAGCAGCTTGTCACACTCAGTGACCTCCCTCTGTAGGGAATGTGGGTGTATCTCCCCTGCAGACTCATGTGAGCCTTCTCCATGCAGCCATCCCCAACAGCACACCTTCTCCTGGAAGACAGCAGCCAGGAAACCATGTAGGATCTTTGAGACTTCTGTCCTCACAGCTCCAAATCCAACCCATAAAGAAAGGCAACCAGTGTTCTCTGGCATTTCAGCCTGGGTTTTATTTCTCTCTCTCACTCCTGCTTTCAGTTCTGGTTTTGGTCTTTGCTGGTGCAAGACAGTCATTGCAAAACATGCCTAGCTATAGCAGTAGACTCTCCATTTATGTTTCCAGCTACTAAATGGTTTTAGTTTCTCCTTTTACACTCCTGCACTGGATACAAAAAAAAATAGGGCTATCTTTTTTTTTCACTTGACTGCAAGCAAAAATTCTTATTCACAGGAGGGAAACATGACTGCTGAGAAGGAGTTTGTGTAGTTTTCGGTGGCATGGCACAGGCGCTTTTATTTAGGCAATCAGCTGTGTGGTTTAATTCACCGGGGCCCAGCCTAGGAGGAAAACCCCTTGATAAAAGTTCACCATGTAATAGGGTGGCTGAAGCAGAAAGAGAATGACCTCTGTCTACAACAGTGGATTCTGCACCAGCCCTCTCTCCTCTTCTGCTACGATGGGTGAGATCCTGAGAATCCTCTAAGACATTTGGGCTTCTTTCTCCCCTTTCCTAAAAAAAGGCAGGATGAATCTGGTCTGGAAAAAATATCATTCACAGTTCTGTACGTTACAGCACACACTCAAAAAACTGAGGGGAATTCTGTATTAAATAGAAGAGACTCTTGCTCCCAGAGACCTGGGGGAAAGATAAAGACCCAAACGTACCAGCTTAAAAATAAAACATGACAAAAAATGGGAACCATCAGGAAGCTATACAGCAGACAGCAATCTCACTGGTTTTAAGTAGTATGAGAGCTGAAGAGTTTTTACATCTGCTCTAGCAAAAGAGGATTCTTTGGAGCTGTTTGAAGGAGAGTGAGGGACCTTGGCAGAGTGGTGCGAAGGTTTCTCCCAAATATATGGAAGAGGCACAGAAAAAAAACAAAGGCTGTGCTAAAATGCAAATCAGCAAACACAGCCCTGTCAGATGCAGGCACCATTCTCTCACCAGTGCATGGGAATGACATTTTACTGTTTACCAGGATTATAGACCCTTATACCACATGAACTCAAGCAACCATACAAGTATTTTGCTTATGAGTCATAGGTTTTTTTCTTTTTTTCTAAACAGATACCAGTTTTTCTTAACCACAAATTATGTACTGTTTAGCCTCGACTCTTTAAACCATATATGATTTCTCTCAGTTATCTTTTACTGTCGTGAAGGATAGGTTCCTGTTACAAAACTGAAGGTCACACACATCATTGGTTCCAGTAGCTGATATCACTGCGCTCTCTCCCCCATCTCCTCCTTCTGTGTCACCCTCTCCTCCCCCTCTACTTTCAATTCCCCCACCTTCTTCCCCACAATGACAGGCTAAGCATGCTCCCCATTCCTCTTTCCTCCGCACTAGGCATTCTGGCTACTCCTCCTGTCCCTGGCACCCCAGGGGCTTTGTGTTCCTCCCATGGTATACCCCGTCTGCAGTAACCCTGTGCCATATCACCTTCTCTGTAAACCAGAGATCTGTCATGGCATGCTTCTTGTTGCTAAAGGCTGTGAAGAACACAGAAGTCCTTGTAGCAGTCTATGAGAAAAGGTGAGGTTAACTTTCCCAGTAGTCTCTCTCTTGATAAAACTTCTTGTTTTACCACTTTGGGCATACTGGAGAAAGTACCCAAGTGTTTTCAGCCTCTAACAGATTTCTTTCATTCTTCCTTCTTACAGCATCATGGAGGTCTGCATATTCTTCCTTTATGCTATGATACTTCTCCCAGGTAAAAGATGCATTTTTAATTGTAAAAACTGTTTTGATTATTTGTGTCCTGCTATGTGATACTTTCTCATCCCGTAAGAAGCTTATTCCTTAGTAGTAATTAATAATTTCTGTTGCACAATCAAGGTCACATAGCCAATGTGACATGTATTTAAATTCTGTGCAGAGACTCTATAAAATATATAGCAAGTACTTTCTCTCTTCAACTTTATATCTTTACATTACACTTATTTTATGTTGCTTTTAAATTTTCAATTTAAATCTGTCTTTAAAATGTGTGTATATCATAGAGCAGAACAGTATTAAACTGAAAACTGATAGTTTGATATGGGATAACTGGGGTTTTAGGCAGCCGGGGAGATAATTTTGCAGTCTGGTGCTCTGGAAGTGCAGTCAAAACTTTTCACCGGGAGAGAGACTGTAAATCTTCTCCTCCTTTTGAAAACAGAAGAGGTGTTTGTATCTTCTGGGACAGAAGGCTGCATTTTTCATTCCAAGAAAAGACAGTCCTCCCAGTCCATTGCCACCCATAATAATGGATACGTGCACTGATGAAAGTGAGAGAAAAATCATCCCTCGTGTAATATGGTTCATGCTTTCTTTGCATGAAGGCATAATTGTGTTTATTTACTATTTCTGTTAGCAAGATCAGCAACAGAACAGTTAAATTTGACATTTAATCTGTCATTAAACTCTAGATTAATTACAGAACAGTTAAATCTGACATTTAATTTCTCATTAAACTTTAGATTAATTCTTCAGTGAGACTGAAAGTGTTCACCTGTTTCTGGCTTTCTGGTCATATATTCCCTAGGTAACAACATTTACCACACAGTGCACACTTCACATTTTCTTCAAAACTGCAATGCTGTGTTGTTTTATTAGAAGAATGGCCTCAACTTTTTGAATAGAAACTGTGCAACTATCCCCTTCGTGGCAGAATCTCACTACACTCAGGATGCTACATACAAGAATAGTTTGGACCTTTTGCCTGCATATAAGTCCTCTAAAATAAATATGCCCACAAGATCTGTGTGGTAGCCTTCTTTGGAAAGTAAAATATAGGAAGAAAAATAAAAACCAGCTTTATGACCTGAACTCCACAAGACTAAGTGACTCAGCTTGAAGAACTATGTGTCCTGTCATACCTAGTGGGAGAATTTGTGTCTAAGTGTTGGCGGTTTTATTGCTACTGTCGTTAAGTGTTGCCTCTGTGAGTGCAAATACTTGGTGTTCTTTTTTAGCTGATGGAAATCTTAATTTCTTCTCTCTCCTTGTCTAAGGTATTGCTGCCAGTGTGCATCAGGTGAAGTCATTTCTCAATCACACTGCATACCTATCCTGCTATTTTCCAAACTCTCAGAAAACCGACATAAAGGATTTAAGAGTTTTTTGGCAAAAAGACGCTATTGAAGTGGTGCATGAAGTATACCATGGCCAAGAAAAACTTGATAACCTTAGTCCTAAATATATAAATCGCACCAAAATGGATATGGACAAATGGACCTTGCAATTGTTAAATGTGGGAATTGTGGACGAGGGACAGTATACATGTATTATACAGCACAGAGATAAAGGATCGCCAAAGGTCATACACAGATCTGAGTGCTTACTGCAGATCATTGGTAAGTAATCTCTTCTAATTGTCATCTGGTCTGGGTTTTTTGGGGGGGGTTCTCTCTCACTTTGTTCAGTCCAGAAATGCGTGGTACTGTCCTCAAGCCACTGAAGATGTACCTGCACTGGAGCAGAATTTCTGAAGATGGATAGGACCATTCTCAGTAAAAAATCATCAGCTCTGAATGAAAAGGACTCAGGTGGAAGCAGTCAGAAGAAGTAGAAAATAAGAAAATAATTTGTTCAATATTGCATCATTCCTGATTCCCACCTTGTCATACTTTACAGTGAAAACCATTATGCCTTCTTCCTCTTGCCTCCTGCAAGTTTTATGGCTTTTAGGATTCTGGAAAATACACTTCTTTATTTGCATCTAATGCACTGCATTCTATTAAAAGCAATAGTAGTTAGCATCGTTGGTGGTAAATTACAAATGAAACATAACAAGATTTCTGCAAACACCTAGCTATTTTATGATGATATAAATTGCAGGGAAAATAAAGAAAAGAGCACCTCATATGTGGAGGAGTAGGAATTTGTATGCTCAGTTAAACTAAGACTGAAAATATCTCTGAAGAAAAAATGCAGGCATTGATGAGATTCAACCTGTTTTCTTGCATGTTACCATGGGAAAAGGCAGAAAATCTTTTAACAAGGGACTGGGGTTCAGTAAGGAAGCAATCTTTTCCTAATATTTTCTAATATTTTTAGTAATTCCTAGTATATTTCCTAATGTTTTTCTATTTTAAGCTGTTCTGCTAGTAACCTTTGTCCATATGCCTGTGTTCTCTCTTCCACTATGATAGTGCTAGTCATTAATAATAGCAGTTTCTAACTTCCACTAGTGTTTTTAGGCTTCAAAGGTGCTTCAAAAGAGAACAGGCCATGTGTAACAGCGGCCAAAAATGGAGTCCCAGGACATCTGAGCCTATTTAACTTTGTGCTGCCAGCAAGCATTCCCTCAATTCACAGATAGAAAACCTAGATTGTTAATTCTGATTCTCCCAGAATATACTTGACAAGTATTTTCAGCAAAGTTTTAGAACTCAGAAACTCATAATGTGCATTTGGTATCACGGTCTCCAATTTAAGAGGTGCTTAGCATCAATTGTTCAGTTAATTCAAGCAGTTAAATCAGTTATCAGTTTAGCCAACATTTGAGCAGCATGTTATAGAAGTCTCATACTTTGGCACTAAAATTCTCCCAGACTTTTTAAGGTTTAACTTAGGAAAACTGTTTTAAACTCTGCTGCTGTGTTCCTTCCAAATGACTCTCTATTCTCAGCTCCCAAAGGAAGGAACAGTATAAAATAATACTAAAAAAAAAACCAAACCCCTAAAAATAATTAGAAGAAAAATACAAATGTACTTGTGCTTACCTACTGTTTCTTAATTACAATCTCATATCATACGTGGACTGTTTTTTGTAGTATGGCATGTCACCCTTAAAATGGACCTAAGAAAGATTGAGTGCTGTACAATAATGATAGGGCGGTAATACAAAGCTATCTAGATCACTTAGTGACCAAGTTCATTCAGAAATGCTGAAGTACCCAAGTACCTTCTAATACAGTTTACATGTGATATTTATATATATGACATTAGGAAAATATATAGATAAATACATGTGTATAATATGTATTGTGTACAGCCAGGACGATTTATATACGAAAAATGAACACAGATCATTCTCCAGAAAGAAGGGAAGGCTTCACAATGGAAAGCCTTGGCTATTAAAATGTGCAAGGCAGAGACCATGGTGACAAGCAGCTTAACTGGAAATTCTGCTGCTTTAGCATGGTTCTAGTGCTTCTTTTGGATGGATCAGAAAGAGAAGTAGGTGAGACTAGGGAAGTTATTTCAAAATATGTGCTATTTGAAGAGTTGGGAGTGCAACTGATGTCAGAATAGAGACTTAACAGTTTGTGTCCTCATTTTAAAGTGGATGTTTAAAAACTTAAAAGCGTGAAGAAAAGCTCTACTAGTTATCCGAAGGCTGGAAAAAATACAGTCCAACTGCAGACATTAAAAGATCGATCAGATTACCTTATGACGCAGAAGACTGAGAAGACTCTTGTTTTCAGAGTGTGGGAACCTGAAATACACATAAATTACTGGATATTTTTTTTTTAAAGGCTAATTAATTCAGTGAAGACATAAAAACAGTCAGTGGCTGGAAGCAAGTGAGAAGTAAGGCACATTGTCACTTTAGAAAATGGAACAAAACAGGTAGGGTGATTAAGCCATTGAGAAAAATATTAAGGGCTGGATGGATCTGCTGTCTCTTGAGGTGTTTAACTCTAAACTCATAGCCTTTTTGGAAGACATGTTATCTTTAAATTAAAAAGACTTCCTTACACATGCTTTTCTATTAACAGTCCAAAACTTATATGTACGTAGGCCACACCCTGCACGCAACCAACATCACTTTCCAGTAAACTGAGGTTCCAGAAGCCATAAAACCAGAAGTGTTTTGATCAGGGTATATTCACTGTTTCCGCTTGTTTACTGTCAATAATATTGAAACTCTTAAATCACTTGGATGATTTGGCAGGTTTCACAGCCATGGATTACATTCCTACCCTCCCTATAAAATGTCAAGGAGAGAATAAATACTCCAGACCAGAAGCTGGAGTGAGCAGTCAGCTAAGCAAGTCAGACCTTAAGAAGAAAGAGGAAGCTTGAGCTCTCCTGAGGGACAACTTAACTAAATTTTGGGGTGTGAAAAAGGTGGGGCTTTTTCCATTTTGAATTCACAGCCAGGGACTCTCATGGGGCTTTAAGTGACTAAGCTAAATCCTTCTCTCTGTGTTAGCATACAGCAAATAAAAGCAACATCGTATTTCCTCATCCTTTCATGTCAAAAATTCACTGGGGCAAGGATTAGAGCCTGGATCAAACCCACTGAGTGTGCATGCAGAAGAGTCAGGCCTTTTTAGGCTTATATTTTTTCTATATCCTTTTCCCCTTCTCTGATATTTTTTCATATTGTCTTTAATCCTATTTGCACTAAAATAATGAAGCCTTGAGTCTCTTCCTTTTTTTTTTTTTTTTTTTTTTTTGGTTGGTTGGTTGTTTTTTTTAACTTGCTGTATGCCAACATGCAGACAGTTTTATCTACATTCTCTCCTCCTTTTCCATTATAGTCTACTATTTCTACTGTGACGTTTTATCCAAACAAATCCTGGTTGAGAATATTTGGGAGATTATTTAATAGAGAATATTAGTTAAAAGCTTCCATTTATCATTAATATCTTATGTTTAAATAATTATTTCCAATCCCATTTCACTAATTATTTCTTGCCTGGGAAACTTGACTTCTATAAAGCAATAGGTATGTTTTTAATTGACTGGGATGAGCTGAGCTAGGAGAGGCCTACTCACAAGTTGAGATGAGTGAAATACTTTATATGCTGCAAAATGATTACTCATAATACTGACAGAGACCAAGGATATTTCTATCTATGACAGCACTGGATGTCCAACTTACCCCATTTGAAGTCCCTCAGATGATTTCTTTCTCTACATTTCAGTTCTAAGTTTGTGGGTTTCCCCTGACCTAATCAGGAGGTTGAGAGTAGGCAGCACCTATTTGTGGGTCATTCCCATTTTGTGTTTACACACTGATCTGCAAGCAGGCCAGGTTTGATTATTCTGAGGTGTCAGTGGATCTAAAGGAGGTGGGAGAGACAGAGGCCCATTGTCTGATCATATTTACATCCCTGAAACACCCTAAGGACAAGGAGCGGTGAGTCTACATCTACAACAAAAACATAACAAACACTTCTTGGGACTCCCATTGTTTTCCTGGGAAATTTGTTTAGACTTGCTACAGCCTGAAAATCTTAAATAATTGGCAGGGACTGTCACAAGATGTGGTATGTCTGACTCATGATGCTTTCTCTTTGGTCTATTTCAGCCAACTATAGTCAACCTGAGATAGCGTGGCTGAACACTGGGGAACTAAAGCACAACGCATACTTGAATCTTTCCTGTTCTTCCAGTGGAGGTTATCCGGAGCCCAAGAAGATGACTTGGCTAATTTCACACGAAAACACAACATACAGGCGCATTCATCACATGGATGTTTCACAGGATGCTGTAACAAAGTTGTACAGTGTTACTACCAAGCTGAATATCACAGTTCCTACAAACACTCTCACTAATATTAGCTGCTTGCTTCACCTTGGAGAGCAGCTGGGGAGCCTTGTTTCAATGCCACTAGGCATAGGTGAGTCTCCATTTGCCCACTCCAATGTTTGCACAGGTAGGAGCAGTGCGTGTTGCAGTAGAGCCGATTACAGATAGCAGCATAGTCAAGGAGGGGAATAAACCCTAAGTAGCTGTAGGAGTTGGTTACAAGGGTTGTATGTTCTCCATCCTGTTCACCAGCAGCCATGGCCAGCAAATTCCCTCTCCTTTCCACATGGGAAGTCTTATTCCAGCAAGGAGAGGAAACAGAGAAGGAAGGCTACTGCTACACAACCCATCCCCTCCCTAGATGCTGCTGCGTTAGAAACAAAGCGACCCGGATGTCTGGATTAGGTGGCAACCAGTCTCTAGAGGTGACATTTAGCTGTTAAGAGAGGTTGCCACTTCACAGAATCAGAGAACTGTTGCGGTTGGAAGAGGCATCTGGAGATCATCTAGGTCAACCACTCTGCTCAAAGCAGGGTCAAGAGGTAGCACAGAGCCTTTTCCAGTTGAGTTTTAAAAATCTCCCAGGACGGAAACTCCCCAGCCTCTCTCAGCAAACTGTTCCAGTGCTTGACCACCTTGAAAATAAAAAAGGTTTTTTCTGATGTTTAGGTGCTTGAGCTCCTATTCTTAATCATACCCTTCAGAGGGGCAGAAGGCTAAACAGAAGAGTCCCTTGGACCAGATTTGGTTCACAAACTGCCAAATGGGCTGTGCTGAGTTTAAGCATAAAGGCCATGAAACTTTGACTAGTCTTAGAAGCATTCCCAGTCGTTTTCATAACATTTGGCAGAATGAAATGTGTATTCCAAAATGACTATTTGGGATTTTTTTTTTTTCCTCTGGGATTGTGTCTTTCTTCAGATACCTCTTGGAAGAAGAAACTGGAGACCTGAGTTCCAATAAGACTTTACTGCTGGATTATCTCAGGGTTCCACATGATTGATCCTTCCTTTAAACTAGTGTTTTATTTATCTCCTGGGACAGGAAAACATCCTTTGACATATTTTGGTTCACAAGCTATGGCACAATTGTACCAACATAAAGACAATTTCCATCTGGCTTGCACATGTCTCCTTTAGACAGTGTTGAAGATGGAGAGCTGTGCATCAAGTGACAGGGAGCCAAGAGGGAATGGTAGCATTGCAGGAAAACCTACCAGGGTAGTACAGGCATGCACCTTGATACTGCAGATGTAAAAACATCTTGCCACTCACTCTGAAAAAAGCTCCACAGTGCAGTTTTCTTCATATAAATTGAGCCAGAGGGTTAAGTCACCAATGCTGGATATGGCAAATTGCCTCTGATGTCCCTATATTCTAGGATTTTTAAATAATATGTTAAAATACAATACAGAAGTCTTCAGAGGTTTGCACAGCTCTACACATTGCTCATGAGTGTTAATATGGCTATATTTGCTATATTAGCTATAGTGCTGCATCCACCTCTTCCCTTTTGCATTCTTCTCTCATCCCTGGCTTTAGGAAAGTAGCCACCTGATAAGCAGTAATGGTGGGCAAGAAACTAGGAACTCCACAGAAACAAAACCTTTGTTCAGCGGTAACTGAAGCTCTACCAGTTGCTAAGCCTAGCAACCAAAACCTCAAAAGCACAGTAACCAGAAATAGAGGGGAAACTCCTTTGCATTCCCTGCTATTTTCACATCCTTTACAGCATTTCGTTAGGGTTTGACCATCATTTCCAACAGATACCAAGTAGTAACATGTCCCAGGTTCTTCAAATTTGCACAGTAGCACAGAGTTACAGCAGCAGCCTCATAGGCTCTTTTATTAATCAAGTTTCTGATCTCTCACATTATCCAAACTTCTGAAAGAGTATTTTGCCTTACTGTTCTTGAAGTGGCTATGAAGACTTGGTAGTTTTGCTGTTTATTGGAAATGGAAATAAAGCAATGTGGACAGTGATTTATTGACACTATTAAAACACTGTAAAAGCAAAGGATACTGAGGGCCTTTCCCTAAACTTCTAATTCACATAACTTTGGGACAGGTCATTAAAGCTAACTGTCACCAAATTAAATCTTTGCTGTATCTATCTATCTCCTCTGTTTTCTTATTCAGAGATACAAGGGGAAGAAATGGAGCAAGTGAAGATAAATTTCTTTGGCCCACTTACAGCTGTGATTATACTGACCACACTTCTTCTGGGTTTTGTGATATTGAAGAAGAACAGAAATACCTCATCTAGAAACCAGAGTAAGTTATTGCTTCTGTTTCAGGTCTAGTGTCCCTCAAGTCACAGGCTTTGCTCTTTGTAATCCTCCCTCTACCAACATTCAAGCTGCTGACAGAAAGTTAGGTTTCATGTTGGACTTAAGCTAAACTTGCTTGGACAGTTTAGTTCCTGCAGCAACTTAGTCCATCCAGCAGTAAGTAAAAATATGTCTCCTGTCTTGTCCTGGGATCCGTTTCTCCCTCTTCTTTGTGCTCTGTGAGACTGCCATGGCACCAGCTTACCACTTTTTCCCAAAGTTTCATCCTTTTTTTCTGGTTTATTGGTAGATTTGGCTCCTAAAACCACTGAACTGTATAAACCATTTATAAGAAAAGTGGAGCTGGGGGAGGGATGAGATGAGGCTTCTGTCAAGTGCAAGTATCTCTGTCATCACAGAGCTGAAGGATCCAAGGCATTGTTCCACCACAGGCTGTGCAACACTGGACTGGAAGAATCATCTTGTACTAGGAACATAATTTGATATTTGCATTGCATTTCTCTATTTTGTTCCAACACAAGGTCTCAGCAGTCCAGGGTTTATTCTGCACTGAAAGGATCCTCATGTGGACATCAGACTCTATCCTTACTTGTAGCAAGAGGGTGTTGTGGTTTGAGCCTGGTCAGCAGCCAACCACCCCGCAGCCACTCACCCACCTTTCCCCCCAACACACCTGGGAATGAGGGAGGGAATTGGAGGGGTAAAGGGAGACTTGCAGGTTGAGATAGAAACAGTTTAATAATGGGAATAAAACGAGAATAATGACAGTAATAGAAAATATAAACGGGCAATGCACAACGTAATTGCTCACCACCCGCTGACCAATCCCCAGCCCGTTCCCGGCCAGCGACCCCGAAATACCAAGATTCCACAATCGCAATCCTGGAAGCGAGAGAGAGAGCGAGCGAGCCCCTTCCCCACCACCCCTCCTCTATATAGTGACCATGACGTGCCATGATATGGAATATTTCATTGGCCAGTTTGGGTCTGGTGCTCGGGCCGTGCTCCCTCCCTGCTCCCTGTGCCCTTGCACACGAGCAGCACATGGGGAGTCGGAGAGTCCTTGAAATCTCAGCAGCAGCTGAAAACATCAGTGTGCTATCAGTATTCTTCTTATACCAAACCCAAAGCTAAATCCAAAATACAGCACTATTCTAGTTCCCCAAAAGGAACATTAACTCTACTTCAGCCCAAACCAGGACAGGGGGAAATGCATTCCTCACAGTCAGTCCCATTTCCTTACACAGCCAAAGGTCCTGAGCCCCATGTCATTCTTTCTCCAAATCCTAAGATAACTGGACATTTACTATCAACTCTTTTTCAGCTCCTATTTCTCATGATTTTGTAAATCACATATTCATCTATTTTAGGTGTAAGTCTAGCAGTCTAGATGCTATCCAACTTGAAACTGAGGCCATCAGCCAGACTGCTGACTGGGAACCATCCCTGCATATAGCAAGGCCTGAGGTCCCGTGTTCTTAGATGCTCTGCGAGAACAAGAATCCTCCCCAGATAACCTACAGAACAACATTTAACAGTTCTGTCTGAGGGCTGAAATCCACCACCCAGTGTTGTCTGCTTTTATTTTTGCTCCAGAATGGTCACAAATATGATGTTCTGCCTGTCTACATGACTATCTTTCTGATGTATTTTTCACCACACACTGTGACATTGTAAAATCCTGAGAGTCAATGAAGAAAGCAGAGTTATGTGGGTTGCAGAAGGGAATGTCTCAGAAAGAGTTAGGCCACAATCTGTGAATCATAACCATCACTGGAAACATGATCAGAGGCAGGCTATTAATCATAAGTCATAAACACTTTTGGCAGAGCCGGTGTGGCTTTGTACCAGTAACCTTCTTGTAAAGCTCCACAGCAGAAAGAGGAACTTCAGGGCACTTCCCCACCTTCTGAGAAGAGTTGTGCAATTCCTATCAAGCATTTGAAACTAGAAATCATCTGAAGGAAATACTTGCTTTAAACATAATTTCTAGTTATCTTAACTTTTTTTTTACTAGCATCCAAGCTTAATATATCCAGACAGGTAGTACCTCCACACTTTGTTCCTCTGTATTCTGACCAGATGTTGTACTAGTTATTCAGGTGGATGAAGGGATAGAAAATGAAAGCATGAGGTATCACTCATATGTGTATAAATCTAAATATACAAAATTAAGCTAACCAGATAGCAAAAAAAAAATATTATATAAGTTGGTCATGTTCCCATTTAGTTGACTATGCTCTCCCTTTCTTAATTTTGCTTCAAACCTTGAAGATAGAACAATCCATACGCTACGGTATGCTCAGCTATAGGAAGTGGTTTTACCTTTCAGGAAAGATTCTCCATTTAACTCAAAATGTGCCAGTTCTCCAATCCTGAATGATATCTGCACTTTATATTCTTCAACAGCATTGACATCTTTCAGGAGAAAGAATGCAGCAGAACTGAAACAAAATGCTTCTGAGGTCTTGATTGTGCTTGTAGGTCTGACATTTTCAGCAAGATCAGGGACATTAGCATCACATTCTCAAGACAAATTTCAGCTCAGAGTTGCAGTTGGGGACATAAATTCTCTACATTTTCTGTTAAATGATGTTGTGAGTTGCTAGATTCCACCTCAATTTTTACTCAATTTGCAAGTGTGTGAGAGAATGTACATGTCTTTTTGAGCTAGCTAAACCATTTTGGAGTCAGTTTATTAAGCTATTACACTAACATTTCAAATATTTTCATTCGGATTTGTATCATTCAAATTTTATTAAAAGTTAAAGGTTTTATTTTTATGTAAAAGTTGATATTTGCTAGCAAACTTATTTAATGACTTATTAAAATATATGTCTTTTTCTGTGTTGGTGTTTTATTCTCCTGCCATTATAAGCAGTATATTGGGGAATACCCACATTTGGTATTTTCAGTGAGAAAACACTCCCAGAATTATGTCTTGAAAGCAAATTAATAAAAAAGGTAGTGATGCAATAACCAAGAATGGCACAACTGAAAGTTTCATATGTTCATTGATGGAGCTGGATATCTGTGCACAACTCTGTGTATGCATATCTCCTTGATGTATTGACCTATACACCTCAAAGTTTAGATACAAAATTCCAATCTGAAAATTTGGCCTTTTGATTCTGTGCTGCAGGTTGTCAAACATTTCTCCAGTGGGTCACACAATCTTCTCTAACTCTTGATTAACATTTGGTTCCTTAAATGTGTTAAACTACCAGGTATGATAAATCAGGTAGATACTATATTTGTGTTGTCTCTCCTGCTTTTTTTAACACATACTTTAATTCAGTTCATTTTTTTCAACATTTTCACTTTCCACTCAAGTCATCCACCGCAAATCCTCACTAACATTGAAGTCATCAGAACACAACAGCTCAACCCTCCTTTGCTCCTACCCAGACAACAAGCCTTGTGGGTCTTTTGTCTTCCATATGACTAGACTCACACACATATGTGTACACTCTTGAACTCACAGTCTCGGAACTCTCTTACCAGACCCTAAATCCTGATGTGCTGCTTATCTGGTCAGCTTTATGCACTGATGAAAAAAAAATCACCAACCTTTCATGTTTGTCCATAGGAGAAAAACAATAACCAGTACCTCCACAATGGGTAAGATATCTAGAAATCTATGCTAGGACTCAAAGAGTCCTTCCCTAGCACATTAACTTAGCAGAAAAAAAATAAAATTCTAAGCACTGTGAAATTCAGCAGTTTTTGCAACAGGTCTTTTGCAACAGCCTCTGAGGGGGCTTTCCACCCCGATACACTGTCTACTATCACTATCAGCAGCTGTAACTAGTGGAAAAAGTCACACGGAGGGTTAGGTTTATCTTTTGACAACTCTCTTTCATCCTTAATTTTTTCCTAATTAGTGAAGTTGTTTGTTTTTCCCCCTTGCCATCCCTCTACTTTAGGCTGCCAACCTCCTATTACCTGTTCAATTTCTCTACCTCCTCTTTTCTTGCTCTTACAATCAACTCTAATTCCCTCCTACAGCTGACGACAGTTAAGGGGGAAAATGCAGATGGGCTTCAGGGAAAATCTTAAATTTGTCTCTCTATATTCAAATGCATTAATCCTCTGTGCTAGCAGGTATAATAAGCACAGTTGGAAGACACAAGAAAAATGTAGCAAATGTGCTGGCATTTTTGTCCTCCACACACATACGTTCAGATCTCCAGGCTATCTCCTCACCCACTTTGTAGTTTTTTCTTTGACAGCATGCTTTCAGTCATTTAATGACTCTACAAACATGGCAAGCTGTCATGGTTTAGGCCCAGAGGGCAACTGAGCACTGCACAGCCCCTCACTCACTCCCTCCCCCATCAGAGATGGAGGGGAAGGGGAGAGAATATGGAGCAGGAATGGCTCAAAGAATCCATCTAAGGACCAGGAGGAGTAGCTCACCCATTATGGTTACAGGCAGAAGACAGACTTGTTAGGGGAAATAAAAAAGAAACATCACTTTAATTCAAATGCTAACAAAGACAACACTTAACAGACAAGGTGGGGACAGTGAGAAGCCCACCACATCCCCAAAAAACATCTCCCCTCTCCCCTTCCTTCCTCCCAGGCTCAACTCTGCTCCCACCTCCTCCCCCAGAAACACAGGGGGCAGGGGATGGGGGTTACAGTCAGCTCACTGCTCCTTCCTTCTCGGGACCGGGGGTGAAAGCTGCACATTCCTCCCCCGCTCCACACGGGTCCCCTCTCACTGCAGACAGTTCTCCACGAACCTTCTCCGGCGTGAGTCCTCCCCACGGGCCGTGCTGCTCCGGCGTGGGTCACCCCTGCGTGCTGCAGTCCTCCCAGCGCCAAACCACAGCAGCGGGAGCCGCTTCTCCCCTCAGAGTCCTGGCCTATTTTAAGTGCAGATGTGTCTCCTGGAGTGGCTTTCTGCTCAGGCTTCCAGTTGGCCTCTACTCCACCGTGAACCTTCATGGGTGGCAGGGTGGGCGGCCCTGCCGTCACACATGGGATACGGGGGCTCTGCTCCGGTGCACCTCCCTCACGTTCTTCTCCTTCCTCCCACTGACCTCGGTGTTTGTCCTTCTCACAACTCCTCACAAGTCCCAACCCCCTGTCAGGTTCCCCTTCTTCAATATGTTGTTGCAGAGGTGCAGCTGACCGGCTCAGCCCTGGCCAGAGGTGGGTCCGACTTGGAGCCAGGGGAGCTTTCAAGAAGCTTCTCACAGGGGTCACCACTGTAGCCCCCCCCCCCCGCTACCAAAAAAACACATGCCACAGAAACCCAGCACACACAAGCAAACAAATGAGCATATGCCCACTCCATACCACAGCATGTAACAGCTTCACTTGAAAACACCATTCCTTTATTTTTAGGCATAACATTATGAATTTCTGAAAATGATAACAAAGAAATGGGAACAGTGTGTTAAACCAGTATCCAATGCCCTAAGGTAAAATCTTGTCATCAGACTTACAGCTGTGATAGATGGTTTCAGGTTCACTGATTAACCAGCACTGCATCACAGAATAGTTGAGGCTGGAATGGACTCAGGGAGATCGTCCAGTTCAACCCCCCTGCTCAAGCAGGGTCACCTGGAGCAAGTTGCCCAGGTCCATGTCCAGACACCTTCTGCATATCTTTGAGGAAGGAGACTCTACAACCTATCTGGGCAACCTGCTCCAGGGCTTAGTCACCCTTCACAATAAAAAAGTGTTTCTCTGTGTTCAGAGGGAACCTCCTGGGTTTCAGTTTGTGCCCACTGACTCTAGTCCTGTCACTGGGCACCACTGAAAAGAGTGACTCATTCTTTTTCTCAACCTCCTTTCAGGCATTTATACACACTGATGAAATCTCCCTGAGGCTTCTCTTCTCCAAGGCTGAACAGTCCCAGCTCACTCAGCCTTTCTTCGGATGAGAGATGCTCCAGTCCCTTCATCATCTTTGTGGTCCTTCATTGGACTTTCTCCACTATGTTGATGTCTCTCCTGTACTGAGGAACCCAGAACTGGGTACAGGACTGACTCCAGATGGGGCCCCACCGGTGCTGAGTAGAGGGTAAGGATCACCTCCATCTATCTGCTGGCAAAGCTTTCCCCAGTGCAGCCCAGATACTGTTGGCCTTCTTTGCCACGAGGGCGCACTGCTGCCTCATCTTCAACTTGTCCACTAGGCTATCCATGTCCTTTCCTGCAAAACCCCTTTCCAGATGGTTTGCCCCAGCCTGTACTGGTTTACTCCTCCCAAGGTGCAGGACTTTGAATTTGCTTTTGTTGAGATTCCTCTCTGCCTGTTTCTCCAGCCTCTTGAGATCCCTCTGTATGGTAGTACAACCATCTGGTGTGTCACTTCTCCCAGTTTTTTATCATCTTTAAACTTGCTGAGGGTACGCTCACTCCTATCATCCAGGTTATTAGTGAAGTCAGTTAGTTTTACTGCAGATTTCTTAATGTCAGTCAGTTCTACTGCAACAAGCAATCCTTTCCTATTGTTAACAGGTGAGGGGACCATGAAGAGATGCATTTCTAGAATATTCCATAGTGACTTCTGAGGTGATTGTCATTAACAAAACATCTCATGGCAAACATCCCTTAGTGGGCCTTTTCCTCTTCAGATGAATTATTTGCTACCGGCAGTTACATTTGACCACATAAACATGGCAACTCTATTAAAGAAATCTAGTTCTTGCACATATTATCTCTATGTTTTGGTTTCAAATTTTCTTTCTCCCTTCTGTCCAAACTCAGAAGGAAAAAAGCAAAAAAAAAAAAATTGGATATGAAATACTTATCTACACTGGAATGCTGGGCTGTCATAATTGTTAACTGGTCTCACTGTGCTTTCCCATCTTCTGCACTGGGAGGGCCATAATGCTGCAGCTGGGAAGAGTCTAAGGAAGATGTTGTCTGATCTCAGGATGGGCTACCAGAAGGTTCTTACGAGAAAATGTAGAATTAGGAAGGAAAGCTGGTGAAAGAAGAGAAAGAGGGGGGAAATGGATGAGGGCGGACAAAGTATAAGGAAAAGAGTGACACACCAGGCTGGCTTGCAAGAGGAAGTGCACATGCATCAAGTGCAGAGCCTAGGCAGAAGCCCCTGCTTCAGAAACCCCAGGATATAAAAGGTTCTGGCAGCTGTCTGCCCGTTGCCTTCTGGGGAAGTCTAGTCTCCAGCCAGCGGCAGTGCCACTAGCAAAGAGAGCTTCCACACAGAAGTCCTGAAACCCAGAATGTTCTCAGGTCCTTGACTTGCCACTCCTCCTCACATATTTGTGAATTTTATGGCAAGATCAAATTTTCCTGTGCTTGGTGTGTGCTTGATGATCTGCATACCCTTTGTCCACTGCTTTTGTTAATATAGCTCTTCAAACAAAATCTCATGAAAATCATAAAAATTATGCCTAGCCACCCATTCCTAATAAACGGTACTTATTATTTCAGAAATACATACACTAGGAAAAAATGGAAAGATGAGGGGAAAATAGCTCAAATTGCAGTTACACACAGACATGCCCAGCTGATGAACCATGTATATTGCCCCTCCCTTTTCTGAAATATACATGTTAAATTGAAAGTATAACTAGTTTGTTTCAGAATAATTCCCTAAAGTTTTTCTCAGACTAGTTCTAATGTTGTTAGCAAGAGAAACTGTTCTGTTTTCAGTGTTCAAAACTGAAAACCTCTCTACAAGCTCAACAACTTTTACACCCTTTTTCATCTTTGCCCTCCCTCTGTCCTACAAATAT